AGATACTTGCACCTATTTCAGCCAAAATGTTCTCATTTATCTCATGGATGAAGAAAAGTAAGGCCATTCATTTCGTGTTACTGAGGTAACAGAGTTTAGACAGCAGTTTTCGTTCTCCCGGCTACCTTCCAATTCTGTCTGGTTAGGCTTGACCCGGAACTTCCATAGTTTCAAGAATAATAGCATAGACAGTCGCCTTTCTTCATGCAAAATGAAATTTTTTGCTGGCCAAAGATGAAGTGGCAAGGAGAGTTTTCCAGCGCTAATGACGTAAAAATGTCAAAAATGAGGTTCACGAGTGTGCAAGTGTTAAATTAATCAAGTGCAAATTGTGCAAGTGTTAAATTAATAAAAATGGAGTGTTGCAGAAGATATGAAAACCGCCTCCTGTCAGGTGATGCATGTTTAGTATTCGTACGACGCAGAAAAATTAAGTCGGAGGGAATTTTTGGAAAACGTTTTCATACCACTTTTGTTGCATTTATTCAGGAACTGCGCAAATGTAGCCCGAGTAAAGCTTCCTAGAAAGGTAGCAGCACATGTATCTCTTGCCCATTCCTATTGGAATATGCAGTTGAAATGAGATCTTGAAGTGGGTGAAAAAGAACTTCGTACAAAAGTGAGCTTTTGTGCTTTGTATTCAATGACTACAATTGAGATGTTGAGTCCAATGCTGTCATGCAGGTACTTGACTAGAAGACCTTGGAGAGTATGGGCAAAAATACCAATCAATCCTTTTCTTTTTAAAATTCTTGATGCTCGTGGGTGTCTGCAAATCGCTAATGGACATGGAAAGGCATGGAGAACTCATTTCTACTTCACATTCACAGAATTTCCAGGGTGGTTCAAAAAATCTTGGACTCCAAGGCTATCAATGAAATAGACAATACCAATGGGTGAAATCAAATTTTCTTATAGGTGAAACTCTACGTAGAGTATACACGTGTTTACACAATATTTCCTTATATAATAATCCACCAAATTGAGGTCAGGTGAATTTGGGGGCCACATATCAGGTTGCACGAAGTCAGGGGTACTCGGAAAATTGCATTCCTGACCGGTGGTTTATTATGTAAGAAAAGAATGTGCCAACACGTGTATACTGAGGCCATTTGGGATGTAAACCACCTCGTCGAGCGAGTTAATGAAGCTTGGCAACTCCTGGACCAAGCCAAAATAAGCAGAGCGATCGATCTGTTCAGATGGCGAGTTGTGATGTGCATTGATCAAGACGGGAGCCACTTTGAAAATTTGCTGTATTGCTGGAGATTTATTGCTCAAACTAAATTAGCATTTTTTTATGTGAGGTAATATTCTATGTAGAGTTCCACCTGTAAGATTTCATCAAGTGGTATTGTCTATTTTATCGACAGTCTTGGGGTTCAAGGTTTTTTTGACCACCCTGTGCATAAGTACAGTTTTTCTTTTTGACTGTGATGGATATGGATGCTCTTTCCCTCACATAAGCATCCCTTCTGGCTGAATAATAAAAAAGTCGTTTATGAATTCTGATCACATACCTCACAGCCTACCGTAGCTATTGGACTGTCTTGTATTTTTGGTAGTGTTCTTTGAATGTTACCAAATTTGGCATCTATTAGGAGCAGCCAAACCCCCTTATTAATGGTAAGAGCACATGAAAGTGAGTAGTTTATTATGACTTTTTAATACTGTGACCTCATTCTAGAAAAGTAAATTTATTGTAAATCTACTTTCACCTTTAGGTGAAAGCATAATAAAACAATCTTTTAGCAATACTTAATTCTCAAATTAATTTATAATAAAAAAAAGCAATTTCTTGTCAGTTCATTTACAGTTTTGTTCCATTTTTTTAATCATAGTTTTCCTAGTTTTTACCAATGGAATGGAAAAAATTGGTTCTGGTCAGGCAAATTCTAAATTCCAATTGCATGACAAATTAAGGCTGATATGGGCCTTGGAGCTCAAGGAGTCTGAAAATCCATGCTCAAAGGGCAACATTTTCATAACATTTCCATATGTGCATGATACACATATTGAAATCAATTCAATGAAACTCCTGAAATCTTTAGACAAAAAATTATATTGCTTCTTATATCAAGTAAAGAGGTCTTTAGTCACATTAGTTTTGAAACGGTTAGACTGCATGTTAAGAGAGAGTCTCAATCCACCTCTTCCCATCTCACTCCCACCTCTGCAAGGAAACAAATGCAGGATTGGGAAAACACAAAAAATTCACATTCTTTATTTCATATCACAGGAGACTCTTCAGAAATATATCCCTCAAACATATAAAAACGAAAATGGAGTACTCATCCAGACATGAAAAAATACTCTATCATGGATGAAGACTGGAGGTGAGCCTGTGCAAAAACTATTTCACAGCACTGTGTTGGCCTATATCTGTTTGAATGTTGTTATCGAGCATATTGAACACGAGTTAGATTGCTCTAAATAACATTTGTGGCTCTCTTCAGGGACATTAAGTTCATATGACATTTCAAACCAATGAAACTCATTTGTAGCTACTCCCCTATTGCATTAGAATCTCCCAATAAGTGGAATACTCAATCCATCTTGAGCCAACTTGCAGCAGACTGTGAAATACAAGTGCAGATGCTACCTGATCTTGGGTGCAATAGCAGTCTTCTGCTGCCAGGAGGCAAATTTATAGTAGGCAGCCTTGAGCATGCTGTGTAGGTGGGCACTCACATCACCAGGGACGGTGTGACTCCGCCTCACTTTTTCCTGATAGGGGTGAGGTATTCACTTGTAACACAGACATGGGCACCAAAACCAATGATGATCAACAAAGTTCTCACCTGGAAGGGAATCACTTTGGCCATTTCAAAGCGTTCCAATGTCTCCTTCATGCGTGTGACCTTCTCCCGCAGCTGTGGAGTGGTGGCAGGGAAACATGCCCAGAAATGCCTCAAAAGTTCACTCAATGATAGGTATAACTGCACCATTTCCTTCTTCAGATCTTCAGTCAACAGTTCTGGAATTTAAGCCAGAGTGAGAATTATCATTCCAACATGAAGGATGTAGGTCAAGTGCAACATCTAAAAGAAAAAGAGCCCATCCAACAGAACAAGAGGAATGTTGAAGGGGGACCTGTCCATATGTAGAGAGGGGGAGGAGAATATTTGGGTGCAAGGGAAATGGGAATGGAGAAGGACCAGATAAGAGTAGGCAAGGAAACAGACATGACAGCACCTAAGGATAATAAATTATTTGGACACCAAAATAACACCATCAAAACAGGATCAATTTCAGCAGCAATTCTGCATTGATAACAGGCCAATGATACTGACGTGTGGAAGTTTCAGAATGAGATGCAGTCATGAGGGTTCCACCAGGTGAGAGATCTCTCAATGCATCTAATGCCACTGAGTGCGTCAACACGTTTTGGATGTCAGGCCTCCACATCTGCAGCTCCTCCAACATGTATGCCAAATGACCTGCCCTTTCATCACTTTCACTATCACAGGGATGAGGAGGCTGAAAGCCAGAGAGTGTAGGGCCATGCAAGTATCGCTCAATGTGACTGTAGTTGATTTTAACCATGGAAGTGGATTCCAGTGGTTCCAGGTCTTCATACTGGAGTTTCTCCATGAGCTTGGCCTGAAAAGAATGTGATAATAAAGTTAATTCATAGCAGAGATGAAAAGAAAAGCAGTACCTACAAGTATTATGTGATTCCTACAAGATTAGAATGGGAAGAGATGGTTTGGGACCAGACATGACAGGGAAGAAAATGTTTCAGATTTAGAATCGGTATGAAAGTACTTTATCAATAAGAATTAAAAAATGGGGGTGGGCATGAACAGGACCAATCACTCAATTCCATTCTCTTCTCTAATCCAGAGCAAATTTCCAGAAAGGTAAAACCAGACCCAGTAACTATACGGGTAGAAGTGATTAAAGACTCATGACATATACTTTATAAAGGGACTCAGGCAAAAAGATGAAGGAAATAAATCTGGATACATAGGCTAAATAAGCCTCAACATGAAGGTATCATATGCAAGATCCTTCAGAGAACTATTAGGCAGTTGACATTTCTTTTCCTCAGTCTTTTTGCTTAAGACCCTTAGGATATTTGGGAAACCAGAAACAAACTTTTTTGCCAATTGGAGGGTGATGAGAATCTCCATTTACTGCAACTTTTGAGGATAAGAGTCCATTTGGAGTGCTTTCTGACTGATCCTTGTCACCTTCCTCACATGCCCTCAACACCATCATGGAATGATGGTTGAACCTTATGGAAAACAAAACAATAATAATAGATTGAAAATCTGGCATAAAAGCTATCAAAAAGTCTGCTGGAAGACAGCTCACCTTTTTATCATGGCATGTGAACTGCTGAATGAAGATGAGGTAGATGGAAGATCTGGGGTATCTCCATATCCTTCTCCAACAGATGTATCACTGAACTGACTCAAATCAACCAAGGGATTGCTTTCAACTGCTTTGGCTGCAGTCTTCAGATCTGAACAGATTAAAGTAGTCAAATAATATACCACCCTGTGAGACACAGATACATACAGAACAACTTAACTTCAGATAAGGCATGTCAAGGGACTTACCTTGTTCATCATGCTTTGCACACTCAGCAAATACATCTTTCCCTGCGTAACTGCGATCCCGGTGAAAGTAATGGGATTGGAAGAACCTAGTCCAGAATTCTGCCTCTGTCATCTTGTGAGGAACATACTCCAGGTGTTTCTTTTTCACAGCAGGATATGTTTTGAAGATGGACTCAATAATATCTTTATTCAGATTATACTTCAACCCATTGCATCCATCTGCTTGTGGTTTTACATCTGCCTAAAGACACATCAAGAAATAGTGGCATTAGAAAATTCTCCCAAGGAGAGGAATCATATAAGATGAAGCTATACCAAGAAAGCTCCTGAAACTCCAACACGTTGCTGGTCGGCCTGCTGTTGTTTCTGCATGTACTGAGCTGCATGATTCTTCCAGAATTCTTCAGGAGTGATGATCTGAGTCATGACAAGTTCTTTGTACAGCTGGAGAAGGGATGGATTCTCTGACAAGAGTCTGATGAATATGAAATAAAGGGCCTATTGATAAGGAAACAATCTCCATGATTTTAAGTATGCATGAAACTTTGAGATCTCACTTATTCTTTTCCTCCAGTTCTTTATCAACTTTTCTCTTGAACTTTGGCAGAAGCTGTTGTAGCAGTTCCTTCACATCATCTCTATCTTTCAGTTGTTGCTGCACACCAAGAGGATTTACAAACTGGAATGTAGATGAAGACCCATCGTGGAGCACCACTTGTAACTGCACCTTTGCCTTCCCCTCTGGGCTGATCTTTTGCACTAAGGGATGAGATCAGAAGTTGAAGTCATAATTTAGCTAACAAGATCAAATCACTTTGGAAAAGTCACAGGCAATCATAGACCTAGACCTACATTAGATCCTCTGTAAATTAATCCTATCGTGTCCAAAAGTGTAATTTGGAACCAAGAAATTCAATCAGTAGTCTGTCAGATTTTTCACATTACCCCAAGAAGCCCAGTTCCATAGGAATTGTACAGGCTGGCCCAAAAATCATTCACCATAGAGGATTAGGTAATTGTATGAGGTGTGACCTGTATGGTGTCAAGTATGTGGTGTGATCTAGACAGTTTGCATGGTATAAAATACACCCTTTTTTAACACAATTTTATTTTCCAAAGTCACTTAGGCTTACAAATTTTGTATTTGACTATTGTCAGGTTTCACATTAGATTAATCGGTGAACATAAACTTGATGTCCCTAATGAATACCTTGAACTTGTTTGTGGGGTTGAAGGCATGCCACCAGGCCTCAATGAGGTGCCTTAGCAGAAGCTCAGGCATTGTCCCATGCATTTTTTGAGGTTGATCTTGCAAAATGCCCTGTTTGTGGAGCTAGTTAACTGCACTCTCCTTACTACTGATTATTGAGTAAAAATCTTATCATCACATCATGGCAGCTAGTGCTGCTGATGGAGCAATGCGCCTCTATCTACCCCAATATGCATGTGGTGGTAGATCCAGGGGGACTGCCCCCCCCATGGCCAAGATTGCATTCTATTTTTATTTATTTAAAATGCACCTACATTAATCTTTATTGAGGCTATTGAAATAGATATAAAAGTTTGTACCACAGACAAAAAATGAAAATGCAATAGGATGGAGAGTGGTGATTGGTTGGGGGGGGGGAACTAGGGAATCCCCCTACCCCTATGAAAAATTTCTGTATCCACCACTGTATACATGTGACCCCACCCAAGGGCTTCTCAAAATAAACCTCCCAATATGCCTGTCAGGTCATCATGCAGCGTTGTTGCTACTGCGTAATGTAAGACACTGCCCCATGTGGTATGTCAACTCATACCTGAAGAACTGTGGTAGGTCATACAGTAAGTTATGTTAACTTCATACAATTACTGGGGATTTCCCAATTGGACTATATTATTTCTTATAATAATAATAATGATGATAATTATCATTCTAATTATTCCCTTTATTATTATTAATTACACCCTCTCATCTTTCATTGATTTTGCAGCCATCATTAACCTGGAAAGAAAGAAAAGGTAATAATAGAGTCCAACAGTGAAATCCCCTAAGGTGTGTAACTTTTGGGCCACGCTGTAGATTGGACAAGAAATTAGCACATCATGCAAGGTTGCTACCCAACTCCATCAACTGGGTCTGGCTGCAATGGAATGCAGCTCTATGACTGGGGAAGTGACATTGGCTAAAATAAGAATTATTCCCCACAATGCCACTTCTATAAATTAAAAAATCTATCTCCAGGGTATGGTATCCAGGGTTCCTTTAAAATTTAAAAACATGTTAGGCATGGTATCATGACTCCAAAAGCAAAACATCTGAGATGGGAATGGGTGAAAGTTTGATGGAGAACTTTCATATTTAAAAGTAAAAAATGGATCATTTTGCACTCTCATTAAGATGGTGGTGTAAATGAATTATTTTCTTTAAAAATGGTTTTGATATCTTTGCCTGATGGGAACTGAACCTAAGCTGCATCTGTGATCTCCAGGGAACTATGCATATTGCATCAGAATGTGCAAATGCCAATTTCAACATTGATTGGTCAAAAAAGGTGAAGCTGCTATTGCTCCTATTGGGAGCTTATGCTAGTGATGAAGTAGGTACTACCCCCTCAGGGAGATGATCCAAAGGTGAATTAGAGACCTTAGCAATGTGAGACTACAGTCAGAATATGTTATACATGCTTATAAAAAAGAGGGTGCCATCTGGTGTTCCTCTCATAACAATGAAATACGAAAGGAAAGATCATGATGGCAAAAGTAAAAAAAAATTGAATATTAAAATTATTCTAACTTTATTCCTCATTTATCACTAATGCACTCAAATATATTGATTGAATAGCCTTCCTCAGGTAAAACAAATGTAATCAGAGTTGGTTTTGTGAGGAAAACCTGTGCCCTCAAATGGATTTAGTAAGATAAAAAGCTGAGGAAAAATCTTATCTGTTAATCACTTCCCTTTCGGAGAGAGATAAAGTCACCTTATTTGTAATATCCCTGAAAACTTCTTATCAACTAGATAAAGAGGACCAATACATAACCCAGGCATATGACAATCTATGTAGGTACTTTCAGATAGAGAAATTTTAATCGCTAACTTTGTAAGAGTTACTTGCAGCACAAGGATTTCATGGACTATCAGGTAAGGAAAACATAATTTGGTCTTTTTAAAAATAATTATAACATTTAATTTACTTAGTTCTTCATTACTTCAGATTAATGTATCAAACACTCCATTTCCTTTTAATTTAATTGATTATTTTTTGTATTTTACAAATTCTTGAAATCATGCTTTCTAAAGCCTCTAGGAGAAACTCTATCACATGATTCAGTTTATAAATTATTTGTTTCATCTTACACTTGAATTTCATAAATAGAAATTGGACTTGTTAAAAGGAAGTACAGCCAGATTGAAATTTTTTTTGTTAGCATTATGGTAATTTAATTTAGCCAACATGATCACTTCCTTGTGAGACACAAAACAGATTCTGAAGAACAAGGAAATTCATTCATATGCCACAACCTCTAACTCTTGAAAACTAACTTCGTGTTTTAGTAATGAGAAACCAAGTGATGTTTCTGAAAATAATATATTAGATAATGAGAAACTGGCTCCTGGGACTGCTCCACACTGAAGTACAAGCACTGGTAGATTGTGAATTTGAGATCAGTTCTGTGTAGCTGTTGAACACATTCACTGAAGAAAGAAGGGTGGGCAGACAAGGGATATCACAATATAGTCATCTTTCATCAGAGGCTCTCCATGTCTTTCTGGTAAATCAATTCCTGTTAATATGGATTTCAGGGGAATGAGTGATTTTATCTGGATTGAAAGCCAGACCACTCACTTTTCTTGTTTTCTTGGAATTGAGAAGTCACTCAGCATAATACTGTCAGTGGTGTAGCAAGGAATGAATTTCCATGGGATCAGGCCATAAGCATTGCAGGGATGGGAAGTGTGTGCACGTGCATACATGTATGGGAAGATGGGGGGGGGGGGGGGGGGGATGGAAACTAAAACGTTGTTCTGAAAAATGTAATACACCTTTTCCCTTCTTGTTTTGCTTCTTTTTCTGAGAAGTGGGGATTGGACACATGCCTCCCTTGCATTAAAGTGGCACAAAAAACACTTAAATTTATTTACTCTTTTCATGATCATAAGAATCCATTCAACCACATGCACCAAAGGAATCTTGGAGGGTTTTTCTTTTCCAAAATTAAAGAAAGCATTTGATATGTCCATAAAGTCCAGCATCATAGAAAAAGTTTATATAGTGTGTATGTTTCTATTAGCGATGTTCAAAATGCTGCAATCAGCCTTCCCAACAGCACAACAGGATCAACTTCACTCTTTCTTGTTTTGATAAGGCCATTTCAATTCAATAACTCACCTGTACAAAAAGAAGAAACAATGTCTATATTTATCTATGATGCTGGACTTTATGGACACCCTGTATACTGTTTTGACAGCAGGGTGATATATATCCCCTCCACATCTCCAACATGGAGACAACACCATGTTAGGACATCAAAGGCTTCATAGCTTCCCTTCTTGTTGGCCTGCCCATTGAAGCTCATGAAAGAAAGAAACTTTTCAAGTCTGAGGGCTAAAGGCAGATAGGAGAGAGGGCAGAGTAGGAAGATGGCTTCAGACTCAGGAATAAGTCATGAAGTGGCATGGGCATTACATCGACCCTGGGTGAGATTTTATTCCTGACAGCTCTGATTCCAAGAAAGGCAGATATGAAAAACACTGGCAGTTTTATTTTTTTCTCTTGGAATGAGTAAGAAAGTGGAGAAGGGGGGAAGGGACAGATGGCATTTCTTTTTTTTTTTCCTTCAGAAGTGCACCTGTGAGAGAAGACGGAAAAAAGCCTCTTATACTTTTACTACCTAATCTTGCAACATTGGATTAACTGTGTTTGTTTGTATGGCCAGAGGGAATGGAGTACTCATCCATCTTAACAAGATATACATAAAAAAGGATGAATTTTAAATGAGCTATTTGAGTTTTCCCACTGGGACTTTTATTAGTTTAAAGGAGCGATAGATTATTGACAATCTGATAAAAGAGAGTCAACTACTTCTACAACCAAGAAGAAATTGGTATTCAGACTGCATGACCAAATAGTTCTAGGGGTCTAAAGGCTCTAATGTTGATGTGACTGACAGAAGAGGAGAATTATGAATAAAATTCAAAGGCAAGCAGCAAAAGCGAATACTAGGCTGACCAGCAAAACTCAACAAATATGGACCCAAAGATATTCAGCATACTTAGGCCTGAATGCTGAACTTCCCTTTGGTTAACAGTCCTTTTATCTTCTCTAAATGAGGTTTGGGCATCTGGGCCTCATAGTTGCAGCAAAAATGGGGAAAATTAATTATTTTCCTCATCCATTGAATCTCCCAAATTTTTAATTCAAGTCTTTTCTCACAAGGTAGGTGATCAAATATGACAAATATCTGCCCATCAGATGGAAAAACAAACAAGTTTACGACAAGTTACAATATATGACGAATTCCCATTTCTGTATCCAACATGAGCCTAGCCTCAGTAGTCAGAATGAAGTCATAGGTCAACTGCATAAAGAACACTATTTGCATCAACTATGACAGATTTAGCTCATGATCAGAGACAACCACTCTGATGCAAACAATGCCCTCTATTTCCTCCCTCCTCCCACATTCGCCTTATGCATACTTTCAATATTTTCCAATTGCATGCCACTGAGTCAAATGCTATATGAACCCCATTTCATTTTCTGACTGAGACTCAACGTTTTGCACTGCACTAGAAATGTAAATTATTATTTTTTAAAAAGGGCACGAGAATTTAAATATGACCAACACAACCACCAAGGGTGTGACACTATGTAGGACCAGGCCCAAACCCAAAAGGCTCATGGTTAAGTTCAAACAAGATAGAAATTATATACAGGAATGCCTTGGTTTTAGTCATATTCGGGCAGCATAACTATTGTTCTCTACATGCCACTATCACTTGCAGATCTTGACCTGAGTGAGACCTAGCAGCTCAGTTGCTAATGACTGACATAAAATTAAAAAATTGAGAGTTCAATCTTCACCAGCATCATAGATTTTTCTTTATCTTCGTAGCTGACTAACTTTTGAGCAGTTAGGAAGCCCAATAGTTGGGGTTAATATGAAAACCGGGCCTGTATGAGTGTGAGTTGAAAAACTAACTTAGACTTGCAGGGAGTTTGTCCTTAATATAAGGGCGTGCGCTGCATTAGATATATCTCGGTCCAGAGCTGCCCTGGATATAGCCAGTAGATTGAGGCACAGGCAAGGGCGACCATACTCACTCTTAATGTCCACATATTTGTGGCTGACAGCAAATGTATCTCTTCCTTCCATAATCCAGGCGATCCGTTCATCCATCACATACAGAGTCCCATCGTTCTTCTTGTAACGAACGTGATTCACCAAGAGGAGGACATCCTCGGACGACGTCGCCATGGATGTCAATAAGTAGAAAAATGCTGCCTATTTGAATGTTTCACGGACGAACATATGCGAACCTGGAAAATAAATAATATTATTCACTACGATGAAATTAAATACATAATCCAAACGTCATAAAATTTGTCGGGAACAGCTCTACAGGACTTGAGTCAGAATCAAGTCGAGCTAGAACCTCGCATCCGATGCGAGCCACCATGACACAGAACAGCATGCACGACAGACCTTAGGTATAGCAAGACACTTCCGACTCCAACTTGAGAATTATCTTCTCCTAATGACTCATATTTTAATACTCACCTTAAGTAAATATTTTTTCCCAATTAAAGGTCAATTTTAAAGATTAAATACTTTTCTGAGTGGAACAAAGAAAAATGCTTACATTGAGAAGAAGTGACTGGATCAGACAACCCTGTCCCAACATTCCCTTGGGGCTATAGGCAGCATGGCCACGCTCAAGGGCTGAGTTGCGGCCTTAAAACTTTTTTCATATGCCATCTCCAACCATCCATTGGAGATTTCTTGTTGTTTGGTGATCTACATTCCAAAGTTGTGTGAATCAGGGAAGAGTAACTGCAGTTGTTAGGCTTTGCACACAACTGTGCGATCGTTGTGGGCCTAACTACTGACGTTAAAGCTGAGGCCTAGACCATGTATTTGAATTTAAGTTGAGCATATCCCAGACGTACGATTCCTTACCACGCTCTTGGAAAAAATTTATAAAATTATAATTTATATGACTCTCTGAAACGTATATGCACGAGAAGAGCTATAGAGCTTACGCGTTTATTTGGAGTCATCTTAAAAATGGTATGCTTAACACGTAGCCCTGTGATAGACCATATTTTACCTATAAACGTGGACCCTAACTTTGGACCGAGGCTAGCTTTAATTTAGACTTAATAAAAACTACCCAAGCCACCTCTAACAATAATAAATGCTAATAAGTAGGTGTCAAACTCAGCTGAAATAAACCAGTAACAAAAGTCTTTACCTCTCCAACTAACAGCCCATTGGTTGATGGCAGTAATTATTTATTGTCATGTTGCAACATGGCATTGTAGAATTAGCAAGGGGCAGGGAACTGTTAGCAGTATCCAAGAAATGTAGGACTATTGAGGGGAATGGCTTTTTTTTTAATAAAAAAAATCCTCCAAAAAACTTTTGCAGCTCTTGTATGACAGAAGTTTCCTCATAATCAAACTGATTCTGTTTTCCATAACTTCGAACTTCAAGTAGAAAACTTTATTATTGTTATGTGAAACAAGTGAAAGAACACGAGGAGAAAGTATGTCCAATAGAAGCCTGCATTGACCTTGGTGGCACAGAATTACATGCTCTCCACTTTGATGTATCTCTACTTCCCATAATATATGCCCAGAAATATTAGAGACTGGAGAATAGTCAATCCTGATAGTTTGAAATGGTTCCATTTGGTTGAAAGGCATACATGCATGGGAGGATTCATAGCCTCTCTTCATAGTTCCTGGAGTTGTCCTTATGTGAATTGGTAGTGGTTAGGAGTTTCAATGCAACATGGGATGTAGAGCAGCCATGCACTTTCTGGTACTTAGTTCACGTGACTTTAGCAGCATCCTATACCCAACTCCAATATGCTAATCTTTCTGAGGGTATGCTGAAAAAGTTTAATAACCTTTCTGCCCATTTCAACTGTGCTGAATGGGAGCAGGTGCACATCTAACAAGTTTCCAATGTGTTAAGAGAATAAAGATGGCTTATCCACCATTGGAACCTCATTAATTGAGGTGTGGCATTTGCCATTCATAGTAATGGCAACCTAGTGAAATAACTTCATCAGACATTCATGGTTTTTCTACAAAGCTTTGTACTCTGGGGGGTGGGTTAAAGTGGGTTAATGCTTTAAACCCCCTTTTTTGTTCCATTCACTCTTAATTGTCCCTAGTGCTAGTTCTTTGCTTGTAAGTTTAGTATCAATTTCATTAGATGCCCAAACAACTCATATGTTGAGTATGTACAGCCTGTCCAGGCCCAGAAAGGATCCACAAAGAAGCTGAGGTAGTTTGTTCATTCGTCATAATCAAGCCCTCAACCCATTCCTTTCCTCTCCTCAAAATTTCACTTATACCTATAGCTTGAGAATGGAATGGATTCAGTGGTGTCCTGCTCAGGCTAGGAATCATCAGGCAGATCATCCCAAGATACAAATCACTCAAAATGAAACTACTCAAAACAATGCTAGGCTTCTAAGTCCACCTTTATGGCTCTTTTTATGACTCTGTTCAATCCCATGCTAGTCTGTGACAGGCTTTGATAGGCTATAAAAATTGGCACCCCATTAAGGGTCCATGCCACCTGGTCCATTCTGGGACTGGATTGGTATTGCTGAAGTTGGTGCATTCTTTTTTTTATTTTTCAAAATTGCTGTAACTGCTTTGGGCACCTCAGAGATAGTTGCTATGCCTGTCATTTGCTAATTATCTGTCAACATTCTTAATGAATACCAAGAGAGAAATCCTGCTCTGAATAGAGCAGGCTAAAAATGTATGCTATGTTGTCATTCAGATCTGAGTGAGGAAAACCTTGCTTCATAGGAACTTCATAACTTTAGCAACTTCATAGCAAGCCCAGTCTGAAAGACTTTTCAGGGATATCATTAGTTCTAGAGTGGCTTATGAGCTAGTAACAGGCTTTTTTTAATATTAAATTAGGAGCTAAAGGTATGGTGGGCCCTGCTGTCGTGGTGGATTGACACATGACTCTTGCCCATCATGGTGAGATCCTCCCAACATGAGGGCTGGCAGAGAGCAAGACCCTCATGAAGCTAATGACTTGACTTAGCCCTGAGAAGGTGACTCATGGCTATGGGGGAAAAGTCAGCCCGAGGGCTGCTCCCCCCCCCCCCCAGGATCTCTCCCTTAAGGGGATCTCCCTTCTTTAGGAGTTTAATTAAAGAGTAAGAAACTATGTGGCCTTATTGAGAAAGCAACTTGAATTTATTTAGGTTAGTATCAGTGTTTTGGGGCCCTTAACACTTAGGTCCACCTGAGCTGAAGAGGAGTGAGATCTATAGGGTCCTAGCCATTTTACTTCATGAGTCAGTGAGGTGTGATTTATTTAAGTCTTTATTATATTTACTTCCTATTGGAAGGGTTAAGGAGAGATGCCCCAAAGATCAAAAGGCGTTTGTGGATCCAGCTGGCTGGAAGGGCCTTATCAGGTGTTAGTAACAGGCCCAAGTCACAAAAGGTCAGGGTAGAAATTGTAATTTGAAACAAAATCTGATGAACTCCTGATCAGCAGCAATTCATGTCTCATGCATAGTAAGCCTTAGTCTAACCAAAGATTCTCATTGTATGCTAGAGCATTATACTTCCCTGTTTCTAATCTAGATTCAATCATGCCTAGGGTGATTTTCACATTAATGATTCCTATTAGCTGTAGACAATACTGGAAAGTATAGAAAACCATGGACCTATAGGCCTTAGGTAGGCTTAGGCTTAGGTTTAGCTTAATCTCAGGGAATGATTGCAGTGCTTTGTAATTTACAGATAAGTCAACAGAAGCAAAATATGTATACAACTGGCATATGCCAAGGTCAATGTATGAGTGAAAGTTGTGTCTAAGCCTAAATTTGGTTTTGAATGATAACTGCAATCCAGATGTGGGATAGCTATGGAAGATGGCTACTAATGACCCAGGAGCGAATAGCTCTATCAGTTCCAGCTCTGGTTTCATGGCAAGTTTTGTTAAGTTTGTGCAAGGCAAGGCAAGTGGTGGCAATGCACCTGGTGCTGTTGTCAGTGATGCCTCTGTTGATCAACATGGTGGAGACATTAAACCCATTCAAGTGAACTTCTCAGAGAAGGCTTCATTGTCAGTAGACAAAGAGTTGAGTGGCTACCTCATGGAGTCACAGTCATCAGAGAGCCTGAAGATTGAAATTAATGAAAACTATGGTGATTCAAAAATAGGAGTGAAAAGTGATGAGAATCCTACAAAGAAACATTGTGAACAGAATGATATCAAGGTGTCACCTGAAGAGGGATTTAAATCCTCCTCTGCTGATTTTAGCAATTCCTCTTCACATGAATTCTCCTCACCACTAGTTCCCTCAGGAACTCCTAAGCGAGGAGGGAAGAGAGGGCGAAAGCGCAAAGGAGAAGCACCTCATCCACCTGTTCCTGCCAGGGGTGAGAGACTATCTGATATTTAATTCAGGCTCTCAGTGTGTTTTTTTATTTATTTTTTATTTATTTAATTATTTGTGCTACCCAAGCACAAAAATTTGAGGCTTTATTACACTTACTGTAGAAATATTACATTTGTCTATTTCTTTCTTCATACAGAAAACACCTGAAAACTTTTTAAATGAAAGTCTCTAGGTTTTTTTTTTGGGGGGGGGCAAAGAGCATCTGTCATTGGAACTTCCATCCACTCCTATCTTTCCACATATCAGGAGGCAATGGTTTCAGTAGTGACCTACAGATGTGTCCCATTTGTTGCCCAAAGGCCTGCTTTCATGTCATTTATTTCAGAGGAAAAATTGCTGCATTAAAGGAGTGTTATTAACCATTTGCACTCAGTTGTCAGGCCATGTTCTGACATCATCCATAGTGTCAAGAAAAGCAGAATGCAAAAGGTTAAGAGAAGGGCTAGAGGGGGAAGAGACTCCACTGAACAGCGTTTGTGATTTGAATGGAAAGTCTCACTTTTCTCTTCCCTCTCTAGCCCCTCTATTCCAAACTCACCATTGCACCTTAATTTCCCTCCTGAGACCCAATTACACTAAGCAATGAATAATGCAATGATGAGGACACAGCATAAAAACCTGCCTTTATGATGTCGAAGGAGAGAATTGTTTCAGCAGTCTTGGACCACATCCACCTCATATGTGAAGTTAAATTTTATCACTGCACTTTGAAAAATTGTCATTTTCTATCCAGACAACCTACTCTTGAAACTTTCAGGGAAATACATTTTTAGTGTTTGCATGGTGAACCAAAAAAATTTACCAATATAACATTTCCAGTTTCTTGTGGTGACATTCTTTTTTGAACCACCCAATATAATTCCCATGACCCTGGATGGCACTTTATTTAACCCTTTCACTGGCATTGACATCTCCTGACACCTGAGACAATAATGCCTCCTCCAATGATGCATCCAGAAGGATGTTGAAGATTTAAATTTCTGCCTGCTGGTGAAATGGTTAAGTGAATTGGAAGCAATGAAAAAATTGTATGTATTTGTAGTTCTGCCAAGGAGAGAGTCATCCAGCAGACGAGCCAAGGAGAAAGTAACTGCTCTCAAATATGTGCCTGATTCAGAAGTCAATGATCCTGATGATCCAAAGGATCCTTCACTAGATGTTGATGACTTTGAAGATTCAGACTCTGATCCTGCATGGACTCCTTCTGAAAGGGTCAGTTTATTGCTGCAAATCTCTACATGTTTATATTTAACCTTTAGTTTTATTAAGCTTCATGTCTTGTCCCCTATAATTGTTAAGGCCCAAGCAAAGGGCAAGGGCTACAGTGAGTCAGATGAGGAAGGGACTCCAAGGCGCAGGGGACGGCCTCCTAAGAATCGTGCTGGACATCACAAAAAGGTCAAGAGGCCCTTGGGTTCTCACAGGGGAAGTGATGCCTCTGTCATGCCCAATTCCATTGAAACCCCCACTGTGCCAGCTCCAATTACACCTGTATATCATGAAGTGGATGCCCCGGGTAGCATGTTTCGGGTAGGTTGACATCCTTTTTGTTGTGGTGATGCCAATGTGATATATTCACAATTTTTATTGGTTTACTGAACTATGTTCAGCATAACTCTTCTCAAATTCTGTCTGGCTATCCTTTCTGCTGAATACTTTTTGATTTCAGCAGGCTGATCCAAGTGTTTGGGATCAGACTGTTGCTGCTGGTGCATATGATTTTTCTCAGGGGTGAAGCAAACATGTTTGTGTGGCTCCCAATAACTTTCTGTATATAACAAACAGTTTAAAATAGTCAGCATTGAGCAAAGCAGTTAGTGTTTGATGGTGGATGTAGCAAAACAGTGTTGATGTCACAACATCATGCACCCTTGTCATATCTCCAGGTATGGGATTGCTATCTAATGGAATCAAGACACTTCTTACAGTGTTTTCACTTCAGTTAGACAATTTTTCACTTAACTAAGACACCAATGTGTGGGGTATTCAGAGAGGAGGCGAGGACACTGGTGCCCCTGGTGACTAGTGACATCTCTCTCTCAGAATATTTAGGCTTTTTCATATGAATCAAACTATGTACTGGAAATGATGAACCACGAGCATAGCCACATTGTCAACAGGAGACCATCCTTGCAGTCTATTTTAACACGTTGGCGACAATGCGTCCTGATGCCAGGATGCGCTCTCATCGACTGGGAGTTTTTCGCGAGGTCTTTGTGCACCACTCCGTCTCCATTGCCAAACGTGGAGGTTAGTATTGTGACGGATGAGGATGGCATCGAGGGCACGACTGAATGTCCCGGGTTCGGTGGTGTANTTTAAAAAAAACTCGGCAAAAAAAATGTTTTCTGGGACCATGCGTCCTGATGGCAGGACGCATTTTTTGACAAAAAAAATGCGCGTGGTCCCATGCGGCGGACAAGGAAAAATAGGCTGGTCGTCGACATGTTAATAATTAAAAAAGGCTCTAAGTTTTCAATTCCCTTTTGGCTCAACGATGTAGAAACACTGGATTGGACTTCGATGGACAATTCCAGGTCCACATTAGATAGGCCTAATCTAGCATGTGTGAGTTCGGCATGGGAAATGATACTTCAGAACCAAGGAATGATGCCCAAAACGTCATTTGTTTTATTGAAATATTAAGGAATACAATAATGGGTGACACGAAAGTCTAGTTTTCACTACGACATTGAATGATCATTTCAATGTATTGTGTATTTGGGAGGGTTCATATTGATTTCCCTCTCTTCGGTAGGAAATTAATCATCATCGTTGTTGCCATTGTCTTCACAACATCTGCACTTAAGAATTGAACTCCTAGTTTCTGTGTCGATCCGCGATATCACCCTCACCATGTACTGTTGTCGAAGTCAAGTGAAAAACACTGTAGAGGGGCTCCTGTGACACATGACTTGTCTACCAAATGAACCAGTTCACACCTTCATTGACGATGTCTGCATCAGTGTTCATGGCTTCATAGATACCACAAATTAATCTTCATCCCAGAGGATTTTCCTGAACTCATATGAAGTTTTTGCCTGAAGTTACTTGTTTCTTAAACCCTACAGGACAGCCTATATTGCACTCAAGATTGCTGTCAAAACTGACCTGAAAGTCAGAGCTTGGGCAATGAAAATCAGGACAAAATTTGCAAAGTTGGGCTAAGAATATGCTAAACCTTTACCTGCTGAACATATCCATATTCAAACAGAGCATGTTAGCAGAAAATTTTGAGTTTTGCCATATTTGGAGAGCATGGAATCTTCCTTTCCACACCTATAAAAGGAAGATTCCATGCTGTTTGAATATGGTAACACTTGAATTTTCCACATAAATGCGGTGTTCAAGTATGGCAAAATTAGCATTTTTCCACTTCCATCCTCTGTTTGAATTTGGAAACATTCAGCATATAAAGGTTAAGGCTAGAAATGTAGCAGTTGGGCTCAATACCCAAAAGAAATGCTTTTCATGGTTTCACTATGCCCATTAAATATCGCAATCAGTGTCAAAGAAGTGAGCATCACAACAGCTGGAATTGTTTTCATGTCCATGCATGCTAATTTTCGCAATACTAGAGTAATTCATTGCTGAAAATCCCTTGCTTATGCCAGTGAATGGTGGAGCATGTTATCTTTAGATGACATATCCTGTAACCAGATACCAAATTATAGCATGGTAACATTTGTTTCATTCATGCCTTCCCCCCCATATTATGCTAATTCATCTAAAACTGGAGACCTCCCTGTGTTGCTGAAATTGAATTGGAAGAGTGAGTGGTGGGAAGAGCACTGCTAAATTTGCAATAGCACATGCCAAATATATTCAAGAAAGCCTATATGTATTGCTTGCTGGCATTGCAGAATGGGAACTTTGTTGTCCTGAAGGCTGACCTTGAGAAGCTAGAAGATCTCTATCCCATCTGGAGAATAGATGGTAAGAATCTATTACAGAAATTTGCACCAGTGAAGAGACCTGATGGCAGCATTTTCCACAAAAAGGATTCCAGTGTGAGTGTCATACTTTTCATACTGACAACAACTCTAACCCTGTAGCCCCACTAAATTAAGAATCCCTAACATGAAGAATGATCTATAGCAGGGGTGGCCAAACTTTCTTACAATCAGCATAACAAAATATCCATTAGGCTGAGAGCCATAAGGCAACATACCACTTTACTCTTGCATTCTCTGGCACCAACCCTACAGTTTAACAAAAAGATTCACATCCTTGCATGTCACACTTCCACTTCCTTGCACATCTGCACCAGAGCCACAGTTTGGCTATCTCTGATCTATTGCATCATACTTTTCTTCATCTGTTCATGGTCAGCATCCTTCTAAAGTAAATATTAACTGCATCATGCTACTTTCTCCATTATTTTGAAAAGGATATTATCCATTTCATCCATACAGTACTCATGCTGGACCAACAGCACAAGGCACCAGTATGAACCAGTGGATGTTCGAATCCTGACCAACTTTAAAAATGAAGCAACTGTGGAAATAATCCTCCCTCACTTCCTCAAGTTGGTCAAATTTTGTCATTTCATGACTCTTTATATTAATGAGCATCTAAAAATATTGGAAATCAATTTAGGGACAGAGAAGTGGCCATGAAGGAGACTGACAAGTATTTGGAAAACTTTGAAGTCTACATTCAGTCTCTCATCTCACAGGCCCTGGATGGCACATTCTTTTCAGAGATCTACAAAGATAGAGGTGAATATTTCAGATTCTTTCTAGCAGGGTTTTTCATAGTGATTCCTTGGCTGGATGGTGGTGACCTGTATTTTTTCCTTTCTAGATGAATACTTTGTGTCCAATATAGAGATGATAGATGATGTTTGCATGGAACGGCAAAAAGGCCTATTGTCATTGGGGAAGTGGTCTCCAGCCTTCTGCAAGGCTATCAATGCCTGGCCCCGCATCAATGTGGTAAACCAGGCACCAGAACAAGGGTCCACTTGTGAAGCTTGTGGACGCTCTTCTGTCACTAGCCTAGTCCAGATGTATGGCCAGATGTATGACCCCAAGTCCCTCCACAATATCTGTCCTGACCCTGAGATGGAAAACCTCAAAGTAAGACCTTCATAATCATTATACAGTCTATCTCTTCTAGTTACAAAAGCATGATTTCTTCAGAGAGAGATCTTTGAAGAAATGCTTTACTTTCAAAGAGTAGTCTAGAAACAAAAAATTGAAAAAGCTTCATAGAGATTTCTCAAACATGACCATGTCAGCAATTAGGTGACACCAAGACCAGTTCTGCATTTTAAAAATTGTTGGAACAACATAGATGAAATTCAATATTTTTAGGTTATGATGTAGTAGTACATTGTTATACTATCTGATTCCCATTCCCCTCCCCTAACCTCAAAGTGCTCCTCAGTCTTTGAGTTTGTCATTGTTCAATAGGGTCCATGTCAGCTGATTGGTTTAAGGAAAAGCCTGGAAGAAGAGGTGGAGGGAAATTTATTCTTACACAAGACTGTAAAGTTGGAGATTAGTACCATTATAGAACTGAGTAGCTTGAGAATTGCCATATGGGAAACTGTTATGGTACTACACCTTGAGGGAATTACTGGGAGCCCTAAAATGATCCTCTGTAACAACTTGTCACAGATCGACCAATGCAACCAAACCCTCCCAAATTTATATGAACAAATACCTAGGTGGAGGCTGTGCTATTTCAATATGGAGAGGTAATTTATTCTGTGTTAAATCTGCTATGGATTTCATTTTATTTTTTCCCCCCAGATATTGCTTTGATTTGTATATTTTCCAATATGGCTGTACACCTGACACTGGAAGAAAAACAAAGAGGAAAGTCAATGTGTTTAAAGGTTTATGAAAGTGTAAAATCTGTTCAGAGTAGGTTTTAGAAACATTTAGAGCCTAACTGACTTGCCATTTTACAATGTAAATTTCATTTAATCTAATTTATACTTTCAGGAACATTATCAAAGCATTAGTTTCGTTGCAGAATTCCAAATACAGCAAGAATAAATTCCAAAACTAGTATTGCACTCTCCATGGCTAAACTTTATTTAAGGGATGGTTTGGTGCAGTGTAAACTTAACTGCACAGTATCAATCAGACAGAAAGATATTTTGGATTTGTAATGCTTCAGACATATACGAGGGGCCATTCAGAAATTCGTTCATTTCGATGCTTGCCATTGTGGGGGACGGTTGAATTTTTTGTATGTGTTTCCTGTGGTATTGATGAACTTACAAAAAAATTTTCAACCCAACGAGAAGCGATGGAGACCAGAAAACGAAGAACAAGTGAGGCTGGTCCAAGTCAATTTCCGGCTTATAGTAAAGAGCACCTGCGCGCCATCATTTCCTTCAGTTTCCGGCGCGGTTTGAGTGCAAAAGATTGTGCGAAAGAGCTACAAACGGTACTTGGTGATGAAGCCCCGACTCTGCGCTGGGTGCAGAAGTGGTTTGCCCGATTCAAAACGGGACATTTCGTCCTGGAGGACNATATGGCTGTACACCTGACACTGGAAGAAAAACAAAGAGGAAAGTCAATGTGTTTAAAGGTTTATGAAAGTGTAAAATCTGTTCAGAGTAGGTTTTAGAAACATTTAGAGCCTAACTGACTTGCCATTTTACAATGTAAATTTCATTTAATCTAATTTATACTTTCAGGAACATTATCAAAGCATTAGTTTCGTTGCAGAATTCCAAATACAGCAAGAATAAATTCCAAAACTAGTATTGCACTCTCCATGGCTAAACTTTATTTAAGGAATGGTTTGGTGCAGTGTAAACTTAACTGCACAGTATCAATCAGACAGAAAGATATTTTGGATTTGTAATGCTTCAGACATATACATAAAATATTTTGTAGTGTGCATGCAGAAATTTAATTCTACAAAACTCATTTGATGTCTCTCATTGGTCTCCCTCCTGAAGTCATTCAAGATATGTGAGATGTGTACAAGGCTGGTGACACTCTATGGGCGCATCGTCCACTTGAAGTATGACCTGTACAGCCGGTGTGCAACTCGTGTCACAGGACATCGTCAGGCCAAGCCCAATCATGAGACCACAGAGATTCTTAACCAATTGCTTGGTGATGATGCCTGGATCTCCTTGGTGAGCCACCTTCACTCTCCCATGTTCTGCTCTAGCCTATAGATCTATTAATTCAATCATAGTTGATGGGAATACATTCCTCTAATGGGTGATTCAACTTTTACTTTGTAACAAGCCCAGTTGGCCTGGAAGAAATATTTACCCTCACTTCAAAGCTAAACATGAACTGAGCGTTTTGTTTGAAAAGTGGTGGTTTTATTTTTCATTATAGGCATCAAAATGGAAATTCCAAACTGGGATTCCATTAGAGCTTATCAATATCTTGGGTAAAAATTTGCATGCTTATAAAATGTGCCCAGCAGTGGGAAAAGCAAAATTGGCACCAATAGCTTGTTTATTGTCAACTTCACTTGAGTCAAGGTAGATCTGACGATGATTGGAAAAGCTCATAAATCATTTTAAAATTTTACCAATTGGTTATTTCCATGAAGTTCATACTTTTTAGCTTCATTATTTTTTATGCATTGAAGAAATGCTTTAGTTCAATAATTATGATTTATGTTCCTTTTTTTCAAAAGCATGCATGCATGAGTAACAAGTAGACATTTGAAAAATGATAATTATGTTGATATGTAATTATGATGCTGTTATCATTGTTTGGATGAAAATATGACTTAGCAATGTCTTATCTCCCTGTTTGCAGCTGTTCAAGGAAGCTCAGAAGTTATGGGCTCAAGCCGACTGCCATCTGAGGTGGCGGGACAAATCCAATTCCAAACCTGTGAGTGAGTGAGGACTGTATTGGTTGATTCCCTCATGAATGGACCTTTTGGAACTTCTGCCGCCCCTTATCTACTGTCTTCTTCCATGCTCCCTCTGTCCAGTTACCATCTGCCATGTTAAGTCTGGATGAATTTCCAGCGTTTTGGTAGTTTTGGAACAAAAACTCAAAAATTTGACGCCATGACTGATGTGTTCGCAATATTTCCATTTTATCACATATTTGAAAAAAATGCTTCCTTCCTTTATGGTCTTGCACTGTTAATCCCAACTTGATTTAGTTTTGAGTCTTCCAAAATTCTGGAACCCAAATGACAGTGAATCCAGAGATGCCTTTTCTCCTCCTTTGATATTTGGAGCAGCAACAAAGAGAGTGCCATTCATCTGCAATTCTCTATCTGACTGCTATGATTTGTGGGTGTCTGTCCAACAAATGTACAAAAAAAAAGCTGCATACAATATACATATGATGGATGATAATGCTGTGCCTCAATGAATCCTTCTTCCCAGAAAACAGGTTTCTTTTTTTCATACAAAATCCATTCCAGGAAAGGAAAAGAAAGTTCTCTTTTTCTTGTTCCATTTACTGAGGTATTTGTTGTCAGGTGAGTTTCAATAGAGCTTTTTTTTTTTCATTGCTCAGTTATGAGGGGTGTTTCTTTTTTTCCTGCATCAGGTGCATGAATTTTTTGTTCTTCATTCATATCCATGAATGTGGAGATGCTGTTTGTGTTAATGCTGTCATGGCAAGCGTCATCACACAAATGGACATAGAAATGGTTTTATGAAGGAAAATTTTTTTTGAGAATTGTAATAAACTAGGCTGGATCTTCAATTGAACAGGGTCATCACTTGAAATGACATCCATAAGATCAGGAACATACCATCATTAATATTATTATCACACTTTAGAATTTCAGGGAAGTTACAATTGGTTTTTCTCCACTTCTCAATTCTCCTCTCATTTCCTCACTTTAGCACCACAATTGTTGGGAAAAAATTTGTATGTTGAAGTCAATGGTGTCAACGACTTATTCATTTGTCCATATATATGTGGACATCATGAAATAGTGGGTGCAGTTTTCTCAGTCTCCATCCTTTGTTGCATACTGTCCACATTTGTGGACATTAAAAAAAAATTTTAATTTGCTTACAGGAGGACCTGAACGACTCCAAAAGTACAGTATTTTCATTCCCTTCTTAATTATTTTTCAATGCCGTCTGAGCTAACTGGAGTGAAATATATCAGATTTCAATCAATCTGCGATGATTTTACCCTTTCGCACTCGCACCGCCTCGCACACACACACACACACACACATAGACTCCTTGGTATCCACAATCATGCAAACAAAACAACAACAAAATATATATATATATTCAATATATTCAAAAGCCATGCTTGAGAGTTGGAATTTTTGCCTTTATCCAAAAAGGTGTGAACTGTCCCCCGCACCGCTACCACTTGATCCGCTAACCGAGGCTAGAAGTTGGTTACTCCTAAGAGCAATATGTAAATTCCATCCAAATATAATCAAAGAATTAAAATTAATTCTCAAAACATTACGTTGAAGATATTGGTGTTACAGAGAAAACAGCTGACAGTTGGCTCGAACCCATGAACATCTCTATTTTATTGCCTTGATCGATGCCTCTACAAGGTGGCCCAAAAAATAGGCACTCTTTTCAATGCGCATTTTAGGTGTGATGCCTCCAAAAAAAATTCTACCATTTGCATGTAATGGAAAGAAGAAAGACTCAGCTACAAAATAATTTTTTCAGACTTGAAATATGTTAAATGACATGGAAAGAAATTATTGTATTTCGGTTACGAAAAATCGGCGGCAGGCACACCTCACCTTTGCGATGTCTGCGGAGGTCAACGATTTTCATATGGCTGGATGTGGCTTCCCTCTGCTCGGACAACCGCTCGCAGTCTGCCGGTCCATCGTCGAATAGTTTTTGCAACTGATTCTTGACTGAGTTGCTCCCAACACATTGCAATGCGTTGTTTGAGCTGTTCGACGGTTTGAATATCAGCACCATCGTACACCATTTGCTGCAAACAGCCCCAAATGAAATAATCAACTGGATTTAAATCGGGGTTGTTTGGCGGCCACAGGTCAGGTTCGATTAAATCAGCACAATTGGTATTGAGGTAGTGCAAGGTCGCTTTTGCACGATGGGCAGGAGCTTCATCCTGCGTGAATGTGTAGCTAAGCGATTGGTCTTCAATGTCCGGCAGCATCTCGGCCAGCACATCCTCGCAATAATTAGCGGAATCGATCTTCACTCCGCGCTGCACCAAGATGAGACAGGTCTTGCCGACAGTCGAAACCGCAGCAGCTACCAACACACCGTCGCCGACACGACGGGACGTCTCTTCCTCCTCACGTTGCATAAACCCTGTCGTTTTGCGAATTATTTGGCCTTTGAACAGTGAATTGCTTCTCGTCAGAGAACCAAATTCTTCCAACAGCATCTCTGGTGCGAAACCATCGGAGCAGTTTGTTGCATCTTTCCAGTCGTTTTTGCTTCATCTTCCTGGTAAGCCGTTGCACAGGAACACGTTTAAACACTTTCAAGTTGAGGTCAAGTTTTGCAATTCGCTGGACAGAACTGCAAGAAATTTGCGTTCTTGGATCTGGACACTCGCCTGGCACTCTGGCCTGTCCCTAGAGCATTTTCTTGGCTGCATATCAGCTCTTCGACAGCCGCGATGTTTGCTGGCGTGCGTGCAGACCGAGGCCACCCAATGCTCCCGCGTCTCGTGACACTCCCCGTTTCTTTCAATTTATTATAAAGGTGAAAAATAGTTCGTCTCTTTCAGTTACGATCGGGAAATTCTTGAATGATTCTTAATGCTTCTCCAGATACAGCGCTTTAATCAAAATTTTTGCTCTCTTCTGACAACACAGCCATTACGATTACGCTGAACACTCATGACACTTCTCTGCTCAAATTGACGAAAGAATTGTGCGGTCTTTCGCAGAACACCTGTATCGTAGGCCTACCATTTCCTCGATTATACCCAATATTCTCTCCCCAATAACCACTCGATGGCCCAGCACCCACGAGAAGGGCAAATGAAAAGCTGACTTCAGCAGACCTTGCGAAGATGATTTGATGTGCCTGCTGTATGCGGTCAGTGAGCGCAACGCTGATTTTTCGTAACCGAAATACAATAATTTTTTTCCAAGTCACCCTTTAATATATTTCAAATCGGAAAAAAATTATTTTTTAGCCGTGTCTTTCTTCTTCCCATTAAATGTAAAGGGGAATTTTTTTTTTAATGCACCACACCTAAAATGCGCATTGAAAAGAGTGCCTTTTATTGGGCCACCCTGTGTAATGGCATCTAAGGCGTCAGTGAACGCCATGAGCCACTTTTATCTTCCATTGCAAAAATAAGGAAAACAACACCTGATAAAGTTTTGTCCCGCGATAAATTGTTAGGATTAAATACTTTTGATGCTAAGAAATACGCGTGCCAAGCTTCACCAGTGAATATTTAGCTGCTTGGGTGCTAGAGCTCTAAAAGACAGAGACATACAACTAAGTGCAATTTTCTGTGGTAGTTTATGCTTTTTTTCATATGCACCTATTGTTGAGATTTTCTTCTTTAAGCCTTTGGCTAATCTCACTTCGTTCTCAATAACTATTACTATAAATTAATTAACTGCTGTCGAACCATAGGAGATTTAAGTACGTTGAATTCCAATAATTTGGACGATGGTATTCACTTCGCATCACATTCCTAATTTTAACCAGGGGGAAGATGATTCAGATGGAAACCCTATCCTTGTCATTGTCACTTGCAGGGACTATGGCGTTGCGTCGAGTGCGATGATGCTGTTGGGGGGCGGATTGGGGATGGGAGGTGTAATTAGCCCATCTGGAGGACCTCTTGAGGATCTCGCGAGGATCTAGAACCAGATGAAAAGCCTTCTTCTCATCCTCCTCGTCCGAGGAGGAAGAATGAGGAACGGGGCTTCCTCGGACTTCCACGATGGAGGACAGGCTCGTGCTCCCCTCCGAATCCGTTCTGCCTCTCCACTGGGGATCCTCCTTCTCGTCCTTCTGGTTCCCGTGCACAAGAGAAAAATAAAAGTAGAAGTGGACTAGGAATGAGATGAAGTCAGAGAGGAGGACCGGATTTATATGCGTCACGTGGACAGAACGGGGCCAAATCGTTTGCATCTGTAGTGATATTGCAACTTCATTTGCTTTTCAAGCAGACAGATGCCTCTTCCAGCGGACTCAATTCTCTCTTACGCTGATCCCATGACTGTTCCCATTTCAGCTGTTGGTCAAGGCTTGAAGGTGAAAAGTAAAATGTATTCCATAATAAGTACAATATCTCCAATTCTCTATATTATCTTCCACTCTCCTTGACCATTGGCTTGAAATTACTCGGTAGTAAATGAGGCGAACTGCCCTATAGCGGCTATAATGCAGCAGAGTTCGGTTATAACGATACGAATTGTATGCAATGAGCGTATCTGTAGGAGGGGATATCCCCATCAAGTCTTCAACTTTCTTGCAATTCCCATCGTCGAAGGAAATTTTTACCAAACAATTCGTCTGAATAAAATACGTGTCGTACGACTATATATACCAAGGCGATATGTCAAATGATGACATTCCGTTACAAGGTCACGCTGCCGAATGAATAAAAGAAAATGGTGTTCAGATCCTATCGTACAGTATACCCCATCCCCCTTCCCTACCCATTCAAGGTGGCTTCGTGCGTTTGGGCACTAAGTTAAATACCACTTTGAAAAAAATTCTCACTTAGCCGGGGGTGCGTTTTCTTTTATGGTGTTGTTCGTCACGACTGAGCAAGATTCCAAACATGTGTCTCGCGGATATGTTTTACAGGGAAAGATCGAACGAGCAGAAACACGCGTTGACAGGAAAAAGCGCAGTGTTGTTCTCATACTCATACTCCTCATCGTGAGGTAGAGGTGGAACCGCGAGAAAAGGCACCTGCAATTGAACCCGGAAAACCGATACACACAGGCTTTAAGCAAGGCGAAGCGATCCCTTGGACACAGGCCGGCTCCTAGTCAGTGATCGCCTGCGGGGGCGAGAGGAGCTGCGGTTCATTTTGATGGCTGGACGGGTCTGTCCAGAGCAGTGGTGCCCAACCCGTGGCCCTCGAGGCCCTAACCCACAATACCCTCAGATTTCCTTAAAATAGTCTCCTACAATACCAGTGACTTAATATTGCCCGCGATGGCTGTAATAGTGAGCTATGCGACCCCCTAGCCGAAAAAAATTGGGCATCACTGGTCCAGAGGGCTCGTCTTCGTAATGCGGCACATTCCCCTATTGAATCCGCGAGATCCTCGCATTCCCCCTTTTAACCCCCTAGAGACCCCTAGCCTGGTAACACCATCTGGTGGCTGGTCGCGGATCCACCCAACCCTTCGATCTTCTCTCCTACTTCCACAACTGCATCATTCTTCTAACACCTCTACCGACCATCAACAATATCTGTACCCCTTCTGTATATTCCACTTCACACCTCATATCCTTTTTTTGTAAAGGGCATGCCGTGTAAATAAAGGTCATTGAACAAAAAAAAATTGCATTCCCCCAAGCTTCTGCCACTTCCTGCTATACGACAGCGGAGGAGTCATCGCATTTTACCCCTTTCACCGATCGGTTTTTCTTGCTGGGATGAGTTTTTTTGGGGGAGTAGATGTGGGCGGTGTTTTTCCCAAGATCCTCTATTTCCGCAAACTTTTTAGATCTATGCCTCACCTTTTAGATTGTGGTACTCCATGAAGTATGGAGTCGCACACAGCCCCACGTTGCTGTGTGTGCAATGGTAGTTGGCCTTTTGATTGGGTTCCTAGAGGTATTCGCCTCCTGCCAACTAACTTTCTCATTTTCATGCCGTCGACGTTACAGCAACGGAAAACGCCAGCGACGCGGGAACTACAATGACATATCATGCCAAAAGGGAAAGTTTATTTTTGACCCACCCGCTTGAGTTCCTCGATCGTCTCTGTTCCGCCACTCCTTTGCCGGAAGTACACAAAAGGTGTATTATTTTTCGGGAATTATTTCGAATAAAAAATTCCCGAAAAATTTGGTCGCAAACGTTTCATTCCGACCAAAATTATATTTGTGAACGGTAGTAATGATCAACGAGCTGCCTTTCGACTGCGCCTTCTGCTTAGGCGGCGTAAAGTGCTGCGACAAATGAGATGATACGCAAGAACAGCACCTAATTTACAGTTACGTAATCTTCAGTTGCTATGTCATAGGTCATGTTGAAAGCATGACTAGTGGAAAGTAAAAGATGCAAACCTTCACGATTGAGCGCGATGTGAACAGAATTATTGCAAAAACTAAACAGGGTTGGTCATAAATATTCGCACTAAATCAGTTTTAAAATTCCTGAAGTAATAATTTATCCTAGAATCAACTGAATCTCAACGAGACACAAAGACTCACAAACTATTTACAAAATATTTTCGATATGTTCTTCTTCTTGACAGCCACCTGCAATCTACGAGTCTGCTAGTCGATTACACTGGACGGACATTGTACTATTCCTCTTTCAGCGCCAGCCTTAATTAAGGTCGCTGGATTTCGATTTTGGGCTTCCAGCAGACTCCGCATACTATAATCTATTGGATTACAGTCAGAGCTGTAAGGGGGTCATTCATGTTTTTTGGTAATTTCTGTAAATGGTCTGCTAGTAAGTTTTTGATCGTAAAGCCGTGCGACTCAAGCACCCAAGAAAGCGTCTCTTGGATGACCAGACATACAGGAACCACGTCTTTTTTTTCCTTCGATGTTCTTGGGCAGGCAAAATAGAAACATTACTTGTTATTTATAGCCCACAATAAAACATTAATAACGAACCTCGGCAATATGGGCAGTTTTCTTTCCCCGGTCTCTCGATGACGTCATAACTGAGTTTACTTAATAAGAAATTTAAAAGAGGGCTCTTACGTGCTCGATCGCTTCAAGAATTTTCGTCTCACCTCGTCCAGATGTTGATGTTTTGCAGAGGTGGTGCACTCTTGGGAGGGGCAAGGGTCATCGTGTGAAGGGTGGGATTGTCGCCATCGAGCCGAAGGAATTCGAGGCATCGAGCCGAAACGATGCACCCTCGAACCGAAACGAAGCAAAGCCCCCGCGTACGTATGTGGGGACAGTACCTGCACGAATGAAAAAGAAACCGTGCAGAGGCGCAGTACTCGTAGCGTGCTGACCCATTTAACCGAGGACTTGAAATACCCTGTAGACGGTGCGTAGGAATCTGGGAGTGGGCGGTCGAGGCGGAATGATCACGGCGTCTTCCTCATCCGCTGACTTTTCCCCCTCTTTCACCTTCTCCGTTTCCTCTGCTTCCTTAATCCGTATCAGCTCCCTAGAAGAACTGATGTGAATGAAAGGAGAGAAAACCTCTCATCCAGTGAGGAAGAGAAATTGGCGTAACCGACATTGCCTTCCTCTTGAGAGCGGCTTGGGCCATGGGGTAGTCTCGAATCGTCTCGTAGAGGTCAGTCTTGCTCAACACGAAGAGGTTCGAGTATCCCTTTGATCTGTGGACATTATAATTTATTTTGCTTTCAGGAGATGCAAATCCCACGAGCACCTATAGCTATGTCTTCCACGAGAACACTTCCCCGTCTCTTTTATTCCCCTTTTGCAAGACAAAGTATTCCGACTTCCATATTGTGGATGTAATCTATATTTTTGCCCGTGTTTACATAATTTTATCTCCATCTGCCTAATAACATTACCACGAATTACGAAGTATTCGTTGAGGGCAATGCTAAATGGGTTTCTCCTCCTTCTTCATCGACTCAAATGCAAACTTGTAAGACCAAGAGAGGAGAGGAGAGTGACTCAGCGTGCCATTGCTCCAGTGGCATATAAAGACGTACAGTAGATTTTACTGCGTTTGCACTGAAAAAAAATTGCCATCTCATGGTTAAGAACGACGACTGCAGAAGTGGCCGAAGAAGTGGCGTGCGTCACTTCTTCGGGGGAATATCGCCTTGGATACATAATGCTGGGCGTCTGCTGACCTGACGTCGGCGGTGCGTCGATTGCCGAGGGAGTCGGAAAAGTGAAGGAGGGAGAGTTCTCCGAACACGCTCCCCTCGCCGAGGGTGGCCAAGATCTCGTGATCATGACCTCCCATGACCTCCAACTTCCCCATCCTCACGATGTACATCTCCTTGCCCACCTCACCCTGCAAGTGAGAGAGACGAGGCCTCGCGTCTGATGCAGACCAGGTCACGTCGGAACGGAAGACCATATCGCCTTGGTTCAGCAGTCAGGGTTTTAGGATAGCATTCCGATGGTCTAGGTTCGTATCCGGTTGACCAGTTTTCCTTTCCTCGGCATGCAGTTACTTTACGAAGTTCAGCCGCTTGCGACATTGGCTATGTCCGTGCGTGCTTGTCCCAGTCCACGTAAAAAAAAAAAATTAATTCAGGCGACCCTGACTGAGTGGAGACGTTATGTGAGAGATGTGTTCATGATGTGTTCACCGTCGTGACATGTGTCAACCCCCAGTTATGACATTGCAATTTATGGATTTATGGATTAACAAAAGAACTTTACTGGCGAGAAATGGGCAATAACACAACAATGAAGTTGACATGCAGTTGCGGGGCTATCCCCCTCCCATGCATTAGCACAAATGATCGCGCAGGTCAAGGTGAAAAGGTACTCTTCTTGAAGACTGAAATTGCTTCTACATAGGAAAGTTAGAGTGTATGTCTACAGGAATAGGTCTTCCTTTCTCGAAGTTTCATCTCTACCGCCATTAACCGTTCGTTTGGAAACGGTGTGTCGCCCGGCGATGCAGAAGCCGGCCGGGCAAGCGGACGCAGTAGGCTGTGCATGCCACATTTCTCCCTTTAGACCCCTTCATGCGGTAGGCCAGAAGTCATCAGCTAACACCGACAGCAGCGTACCATTCGACAGATGTAGTCCCCGGGCATGAAGATGCAGGGTTTGAGTCTGAGCAGCAACTCCCGTATGAGATCCGGTTCGCACTCCCGAAACAGGTTCACCTTCCCCAGCGTCTCCAGATGGACGTCCAGCGCAATCTCGGACTCCAGCTTCTTGCACCCCACCCCCACCCGAATCATCTCCCTCTCGTCCAGACTCTTCTGCTGCTTCCACGTGAAGGCGAACCACTCCTTTACCTTGGTCCTGAGCCCCGGCGGGACCCCGAGGCGATGCATGAGCCTCGCCGTGTCGTCCATCGCCTTTTGGTACTCCATCCGCGTCCGAGATGCCGTCGCCACGATGTCGCGGATCTGCAAGACGATCCGTCGACAAAATTTCCTCGAACGTCCAAAAAAAAAACAATTAATTTCTGTTCCGTAACACACTCTTTAGATCTCAAAACAGATTTTCGCCGTGGAAGTACCGTTGGGATACATTCCTGCAGGTTGAGAAATCCGTTGTCCAATAAATTTTCTCATTGACGTATTGACGCCAAAGTTTGCTTCTTTTTTCTTTTTAGTGCCCAGTGGTGGTGTATAATATACAGTGGTGCATGACATAAAATATTAAGTGATCCAACTTATTAAGTCTCTCGAGGTTCCATCCAGAAACTTCCAGAAATATTAATGCAATGCTGTACCATGAACACCATGTGTCCTCGTGTTCACGGAACAGCATTGCATACATATTATTTCCCTAATACCTGTCCGATGAGGAAAGCGAAGACGAAGACACCAATGAGCCAGGCGAAGGTCATGAAGGCGTATTCAGCCACATTCGTCGGTTTTGGATTCCTCCCGATCGACGTCGCTGTCTTCGTCGCAAAATAAAAGCAGTGCAGGTACCTATTTGCAGACGGAATTTATAAATAAAAATTTCTAGAAATATTGATTTTAAAAATATATTGCTTTCACTCAAACCACTAAGATGAGAGTGAAATTGTATACTTTCTTCTCAAAAATATTAACAAACAAATTCATGAGCGCGTATCGAGTGAGTTTCGTGAATTTTTCGCCAGATTTTCGCCAGGAATTCTTAGCAAAAATCATTCTCACTAAGGAGAACAATTTCTTCGAGCTTTCTGTGAATAAGGAAAAGTCTATTAATATAATAACATAAAAAAATCTGTTCGAATTCACAATTCCTAAATTCCAGAGACAGAGAACGAGACGCGTTTGCTATGGGGCCAAGGGTGAAAAGCCGCACGAAGGAGACAGGAGACCTACGCGGATCCTTCTCCGTCGTAGGTCCAGGAGTTGGAGCCGATGCCCTCGTAGGCCGAGAGGATGTAGTAGGCGCAGCCTTTCAGGTGGATCATGTACAGCATGTAGATGATCGTCCTCACGATCCTGAGGGCGTGCGGAGACGAGGCCATCTGGTCCGCTCGCTCCCAGAATTCCCAGAATCCACTCGCCTGAAAACAAAGCAAAAATTCATTGAGTAGGACGTTTGACTCCCTGCACGGTGGCGAGTGAAGTATTGGACGCTTTCTCTACCTGTAAAGCCATTCTACGTCATGCCTAGCGTCTTTACCAGCTGGAAAATTATGCTTCCTTCACAATGTCCACAATATTGGACGCACTGATACGGTAATTATGCGATCGAGTTAGAAACACCCTGGTCATCTAGGAGCTAACCGAAACTGTGCTTTAAGTTCATATCGTTCCTCGAAAAAGAAAGTCGTATGGCGCAAGTGGTTAGAAGATGCCTCGGTATCTCTTCGAACGTCAGTGCTAAAGACGATATGACACATTCTTCTCTTCCTGCTTGCGGGATGATACCACCCTCGAATATCCTCCCGGCATTCATGCCCGTCCCGCCGCAATCTCACACTTGAAATATTACGGAAGTGCAGACGAGAGAGAGCCAGAAATACCCGATATTTTTGCGACAAAATCTCTTGTTTGTTTTAGTCCGAATCTGGGATAATGATTGCATTCATCATTGACTTTTCGCGACTGCCCGAAACAGACTTTCACAAGCTCCTTTTAACAACCAATAATTAAAAACATGCAAGGAGAGAAGGAAGACTGGACTCGCCTTGAGGAACCTCGGAAACCGAATGAGAGGGTTGAACCCGAGCCAAAAGTAGAAGAAATCTGTGGGTGCCAGCGCCAACGCGTCCCACTGGAAGGGCCATTCAGCATGTTCGACAGTTTAAAATTTCCCAGTGGATCTGTCTAATCGATATTAATTATTAGTGAGACGTGATGAGACCAGAAAGGACGAGCTGCGGAAATATTTCCGACGAAGGATGCTGGGGTCGGTGATCCAGAAGCCTTCTTCTAGGTGCATCACTCGGGGCTTGAATCCCAGGATGTCCACGAGGTACACCAGATCCGCTGTGTAGTCCAGGATCAGCCAGATCCAGAGATTATTCCCTTCTTGGTAGGGGAAACTGGCGCGAAGGGGGATGGCGTAGATGTTGTACAAAAACGCGCACATGACCGTCAATAACCACGCCAGGTAAGCCTTCCCTGAATCGAGAAGAGACGCACGAGACTTTTTTAATTTGCATTTTTAATACTATTTACCATGGAAAGTTCATACGTTGGATGATATTTCAGAGGCTGAATCTGAACGCATTAAGGGTTTGTTCCTAAAACCACATAAAAAGATAGGCTGGTGATGAACTGACGACCTACATCCCAGTTTGGCTCTCATGGGTCATAAAAATGATGCAAGTTGATGAATACAAGGCGTATCCTTCCTGCTATCTTGTTTTTCTATGCACTACATATGCATAACCTTGCAAGTAATCAATTTTTTTGTGGACAGACCAAAATGGAGTTGCACGCACCCATAAATGAAGGGTTTGCATGATCGAAAATGACAGAATTGTCCCGATAGATAGGGGAACACAGATAGTACAGGTGTCAATCACACTTATATTCGCATTCCCAGCCTCATTTCACTTTTCCCCACCTCAATTCACTCAAGTTTTCCCTTCGGATTTTTCCTTTTTCCCAGTAAGCCACGAATGTCATTGTTTGCTTGTAAAACCCAGACGGGGACAGTATCTTGAAGCATCCAAGTCTGGCTTCTACCAATTGATAAACTGAGCATGCAATGCTTCTTTCAGACTAAGAGGCTGAACGAAGCCTAAGAGAAGGCTGGAACAATAAAATATGCTGAAGTGTCGTATGTACCTTCTCAAGGGAAAAAACAAACACGTATATCCCGCCGATCCCGCGACACACACACACACTCACACACACACACACTCTCTCTCTCTCCATTAATTGTCAGACCGAATAAACAAGAATGCGCTCACGATGTGGTTCCAAAACTCCCGAGAGTCCAATGGCATAAAGGCAGGAGGAATTCTTTGGGTTTCGGGATTCGGGTTGGCTGCCCTTCAACAATATCTCCCAGTTTGGTTCGGATTTCTCTGTCGCTTCCTTCTCACCTGTAACAAGAGGAAGTCCACAACGATTACTTACAAGTTTTTTATGCTGAGTTTCAAAATAAAAATAGGGATTTTTAACATTTACAGTAGGTGTTTAATTTTCTTCCTCCAAATCATTTATTATTATTTCCTATTGAAAAAAAAAGCTTGGAAGCTTAGGTTTCCTTTCTCCCTGCTTTTCACTTGATGTTCATCAAGGGCACAGCAGGTCAGCAGTTAGCAATCAATTAACTATCAGACGTTAGCAATCCTGTCCTGAAACACCAATATTCGAATGTGGCGTTAATGGGAATCGTTCTCGACTGAAAGCCTCAGCCAGATTCAGATTTCTCATCGACAGGGACTCCCTCTTCATCGTCTCTTACGGCTTCAAAGTGGGAAAGAGGGGGGGAAAAGTGAAATGAGGCTGGGAATGCGAATATAAGTGTGATTGACACCTGTACTATCTGTGTCTGTCCACAAAAAATTGATTACTTGCAAGGTTATGCATATAAGGGGGGGGGGGGGGGGGGGGGGGGGGGGGGGGGGGAGGAGAAGCAACCGACAGCTTTTCCCTTAAAGAACATTTGAAAATACATCCAGGATTTCACCAGATATCGTGGGCCTCGAGGCAACGCACAGCTACACGATAGGGAGCAAAACAAATCGTCTGCATACAGTGGCACTTTGAGGATGGGCGAGCTACTTTTTACGCAAGCAGATCACTCGCACGAGAATAAAATTAACATTAAAGAAATTTAGAGAGTCTCCTTTGAGACAGATCATATTCAGTCGAGCCTCGTTCACGCATGTGGAACCGTGTTCATGTGGAATCGACGTCATCTCAACCGAGTCGATTGCCTTCTTGAAGTAAATTAATACTCCGAAATGGTGATTGCTCTTTCTTGCAGAGATCTTATTTTAAATTATTTTTTCCTTATTCAACGCACCTATCTCATTTACAGTTGATCTGCTCTGCCTGGTTACAGGTAATGATAACACAAACTAATTGTAATCAAGATAAATTTCAGACAAGGAGAGTCGGATAACATCTTGACACAAGAAACATGTAAACAATTGCTTTTCATATACCATAGCAAAATAAATGCTTGCAAAAATAAAATGCAGAATAAAGATTTTTTTTTACTTATTGCCGTAGGAGGTCGAAGTGCTCCTTTCCTGAAAGCCTGAGCCCTCTTCTTGAATCTCCGCACTAGTTCCAGGATCCTCTCCAGCACGCTGCACCGATAAAGAGAAAATTTGCCCCGGACATTTGAGAGAGGGCTCGAACGAGAACTTGATTGCACGAAGTCTGACTCGAACCTGGGGAGGATGCCGAGGGGGGCGGAGTAGTCGTACTCGATCTCGATGGAAGGGATGACGGTGGGTGTGGGGCGGAGGGATCCGTGGCGGTCGAGGAAGATGGGCTGGTAGAGGGGAACTCGCCTTCGGGAGAAGCCGGTGTCTGGATCTGCTTCGTGCAGCTTTTCCTGCAGGATTCCGGTGATCGGGGTCTCCATGGTGTTACTGCGGCGGTGATGTCGACTCATCCGGAGGTCTCGGAGCGACATGAATAAGGAAGAATGAGGCGGAGATGGGAAGGGTGCCCTATCTTTTATTGGACCCCTTTCATATCCATTTCCATGGGAACATCACGAATGAGCTGAATCCTCTCGGCTTCATCACGCGAATCCCTTGTTCGTCGGGCATGAGCAATCTAGAATTCCCGATTTCACAGGAGCAGGGATCGATAATAGCGTGAGTGCCGTATGCTTCACGGTTTCACTTGACCTTTTCCAAATCCTAGCCAAAATGCAGTACTGCGATGCAATACCATGCGCACTACATTCTACCGCACATCAATGTATTGCTACTATTTACAAATGCAGATGTTCGGTCGAACCCTTGTTCTACAGTCGAGGTCTACAGATCCCTATGTTTAGATTACCAGGAGTGGGACTGTGATCGCTGGTGAAGTGAAGCCGAAGTCCGGACAGACTCACGAACCACTAACATTCTGCGAAACCTCCGAGCAAAAGGTGAACGGACACGACAATCGCAACGTCGTGACTATCTACCAAATAGCTCTCCCTACCAGGCTGTTTTTGTCTGGGCTGCCTTGGCGACACCAGTGGGGTGCAGGCCTCTCTTGCACCACCCTATCTCCCTTATCTTTAAAGTCATGCAAACATGGAATGCAAATGAAGCGCTAATATGCCACAAAGACGATGGATGCCTCATTGCTTTAGCCGCGCTAAACGTTTACACTAAATTCAAACCGATGCGGTTCTTCTGTCATGTGGATGGTGCAGGTACGAATGGACTAAATGGCAGGGTGATCAATGAGAGTTCGTAATGAGTCCCATAATCCACATGAAAGAGATTACGTGGCAAGTGAGAAAAAGGATTCCATTGGGATGGGACATGAATTGTTGCCTTTGCCTTGTTGAGCTGAGGTAGGGAAAAACAGCTCAAAATCCTGCTTATCTGACCTATCTGGCATTTACATGAGTTTCGCAAGCTACGATATCCAGCTCAGAAGACTTCATTCTTCGCATGGAAGACGTTAATGAAGTGACGTCAGAAGAAAGGAAAGACGGGCGCTCTCAGGTCGATCAGTATCTTCGTGGATGCTTCCAACGTTTTCCTATGTGGATGCATGCAGTGACGTTAGATGCGAATGAAAGGAAAGAAATATCCTATATCCTGCTGCTCCTTGCCGATTCCCTTTGAGAGGGGTGAAGGGGGGGGGGCAAATTTGATCGGGGGATGGGAACCGATTCTCGAAAAATAAAAAAGCGAGCGACAGGAATACAGATCGGTGTCTTCACCGAAGTGACTCGGCTCAGCGCTCGTTTAGGAAAACACATCCTGGATCCAAGTAGAAGGCACTTCTGCGAGTTAGTCTCTAAGATTGGTCGTAATTGTTGGAGGGAACGGGAGAAATAAAGGCGAAGGAAATAAATAGAGGAGAAAATAAAGAGGAAAACGAAGAGGAAAACGAAATGTGTTCTTAGACGTTTGTTCTTGACATGTTGTCCAGGTTTGTCGGCTGGTGAAACCCCTACCTCGACTCGGGAAAGGTGAAATAGAGATCCAACGTTACCTTTGCGTTCCATATTTCCTTCCATTCAGTATACCCTGCGGGTTGGTTTCGAACGTGCGGGTTAGTTGAATGAAAGGTGTCTGAGGATCACCTCGGGAATAGATATTATGATTCTTTGAAATGGAACAAAAAACGTTATCACATGCCCATCCTGCGTAATAAGTCGTACTAACGTTGCGATGGAGACAGGCATTTAACATGAAGCAGCAGCGTGTGCGAAGCCAGCCTCATTTCTGAGGCCCAGCTTCTAGAGGACCATGCTTTGCCCATAAAATAAAGCTAAAACTTGCGGTGCTAATCTTAAAAGACATCCTTTAGATTTTGCTGAACCTAAAACACAGCGACCCACGGCAAAAAGCTGCGATTAAAAGTTGTCGAAAGTCAACTAATTCATTATTTCCATTAAAAAAGAGGCACTCGCAATATCAAGATGCAGAAATAACGCAAATCACCACGGATTTTGGACCTCATATCCATTATTAGAAGGGGGGAGGAGGGCCTTGACTCCTGTCCCGTCCACCCACCTTCGACCACGCCACGTAACCCTCCCATAAACCATACTATGCAGAGTGAGACAAGCAGTGCCGAGAAGTGTCTTGGAAACTCATAGACGTACGCACTTGGAAACACCTGCATCGGAAGAGCCCGCGCGCACGGCACTCTCCGGCCCCCAGCAACAAGAATTAGCCTCTAATAGGCTTCCGTATCCGGAAAGTTCGGCTCCGTCTCGACTGTGAGTGACCAATCACGGTACTAGGAGAAATAGCATGCCGTCTTGGCGGGTACGCGGATTATAAATCGTGCTATGTGATTGGCCAATAGATGGAAAAACCCGCGGATTAGGTTGGATTGGAGGCTACCTCAGGCGTCGGTCTCCTTCCCCCTTTCTCCTGCCTGCTGCCACGTGAGAAGGAGGGGTCCTCGCGTCTCTCGTCTCGAGCGCCGTTATAGAGCTTTCTTTCGACTGGATGAATTATTTTGTGCATTCATGTGTCACGTTCGATGCATGCCGCGATGATATGAACCTTTTTAGCTGTAGGCCTTAGGACCCCTCGCCAAGAAGACGACCCATGTGAGTTCGTTCTATGTTGTTTTTTACCTGGTTCCTCGTTCCGTTTCTTTGATCCAGGTATCGTTGAAGTTGAAGTCATATGTGTGGCTGAAACTGCGTTTCTTAATGCTATGCATAGGAGGTTATGCTTCTGGCGAAAACGCTGCGAATAGGGCCTCGCTTGTAGCTTCAAGTTAGGCCTAACGAACCGAGAACACAAGATAGTCCAATATTGGGTTGAAGATTACTAAGTAACGTATAGGAGTCAAAATAACCCAACAAAAATGAACCCTGAAATTATTGCAAACATTAAATGCACTTAGTAATCTTCAGAGACCGACGCGAGGCTTAGCTTTGGAAACGATAAGAACGTGAGAGTGCGCGAGGTACGGTCAGAGTAGGCATCGGCATCCTTGTCGTTTCGTACAGAGTTAAAACGGAAGCCCGGACATTGATAGACCTATGATGGGCGTAACAAAGGAGTAATTACTAACAAGTGTAACTCGGGATACATCTTAGCCCGACGCCCCGACACAAGCCGTAACTTTGGAAACGGGAAACGATAATAGCAGGCTCACGTGTTATTTCAATGGAATGAATTGTAAGCTGAGAGCCAGGGCTATCCGAACCAGATTTGTGTGCATAGGCGGAAATGGAAGGTGAAATTCAGGCATACGGCTCTAAATTCTTAATTTATCGTAGCTTGTGCAGTGTCAGAGCTTTTGCACCATGCCACCGTAGACTCCCGCAATAGTAAATGATGATGTAAATGATTCATAAACCCGGTTTGTTAGACGCTGTAACCATGAATTGGACAAGGCCTTTTTTCACCAATGTAAAGTACACGTGCAAATGCAAAGAAGACTTCTTCGATCGGTTGGGCCGAATATTTTGTTTGAGAGAGCCCGTCCCACTGATTAGAAATATTGGTTTTGAAATGCATACTGTAGGCGCAATTTCCGCCCGTGCACACCAGCATGCACTTATTTGACGGTGTTTGTCATCATTGCCCGCTGGGCGTTAAGACGGGACCGAGGGCAGGCGCCGTTCCTCCGTCTTCGATGACCCTCCGATCCCGAGAGCCTATGTTGAAGGGTGCCTTTGTAAGTGACGAACACTACACATAGGATGAGATCGAAGCTGACGTGTTATGTGCTGAGACTCTTGTCACGCGTACTGGGGGGGGGGGGGGGGGAATAACTTTGATAAGTAAAAACTATTACTATGACTAACAAGTATTACAAAAAGAGCCACCACATAAACACAAAACACTTGCACCATTAACCCTAAACACTGGTCACATGAAAACCCAGGCTCGTCTATAAAATTAATCTTCAAAGGAAACAGTAACTGTACCTGGGCATGTCATTTGACCCATCACGTGACCCCACGTGATTCTGTAATCCCTAAGCGAAGTTTCGGCGCGGCATGTGGACAGAATTGGCAACTATTTCTGATGCAGACGCGATTCCTCGTGGATTAATGACATATTCCACCGTACGCTGTCATTCGAAGAGTAGAAATCGAGATGACAGTGCGAGATTCACATGACCTCTCGTTTCGCAATTTTTTTGTTATTACGAGACGGGTTAATTTCAAAATGCGTGATGGAGTCGCTGGCGATCGCAACGCTCATGTGTTCGTTGGTGTATTTGTTCTGTCCGAATGAAAGGGGATGCGCCCGATAGGGCTCGGTAGAAAGGGGATGGTCGTATCGCGAACTTCCAATTTTCTGGTCGACCGAGCTATTTTTTTCAAAGGGCAGTCGTTGAAATGCCTGCCGGTCCGGTAGGGCTGCCCGATACTGTCTTACTCTGTGGTCTGGTGTCACCGATTTACAATTTTGAATCCGTATGGATGTAAGGTGTACTATTTATTTTTTTTGGTGAGACACCAGCCCGAGCCTGCCGAGTTTTGTCGGTAAGGCTGCCGAGAATTAATCTTTCTCGGTTGGATTTCATGAGTCTCCACTGATTCATGAAACTCATTCTTCACAGACAGGATTTTTGGAGAGGTTATCGTCGCGATGACCTTGTCACGTTAGCCTGTGGTTCGCGCGGTCTCCTCAGCGTTAGATGAGTTGAAGCAGTCGCGTTTAGTTTTTGAAGCGTTAGGAGGGAGCGGCGATTGATCTCGTATTTGTGCGATAGGGGTGGTAGCTACGCTCTGGCTCGGGTGAGTTTGTAGATAGTACGGAGAAAATAATTGCTAAGTACTTTTAAGAAGGCCTAAATAATGTAGTGGAGCAGTTGAATTTTATTGCATATGCCACTGCTTGATGTTATTGACCATTAGACTATATCATCGGCTTAGTCTTTGTATTAGTCTAAGCGCAAGATTAGTTTAAGATACGGATAGCCCTCTGATTTCTCCAGAATGCTCGCCTCCTGGGAGAGGGGCC